TAATAAGATAAATCATAATTGAATAAATTTGATGTATTCATAAACTCCAAACTCAAGAACATTTGTTCAAAATACAAAGTATCTCATACTAAGATGACATAAGCATCATTTAGAACTAAGTTTAAAACTAATCTAATGCGAAGCTCTAAGGCTCGATTTTATCTTTATTCCATCAATGGCTTCTTAGACTTGCTCCCCTTGCTCTCTTGGTTTGGCAAGACCTGAGGAGAAGTTAAGATATGCATTATTGCACCTTACTTAATCCACCATATGTTGAGGAAATATCTTAAGTAAAAACTTATGAGACAACTTAAGTTACCTGTCTTTCGAAGCCATTCTTATATCTATTATCAATTTGGTAACTTGCAAAATTTGCAGACTATTGAAAACTTATCATTTTGAGCATGTTTGTTATGGTTTTCTGGCATAGAATTCATAAGGCAATTTACCATAAACTCTTGGACACATCTAATCCAAGTGCCTTCAACTCATAAGCCATATCAAATAAGCTTTTAACGTGGTTACCCAGACCACTTATCCCATCATAATGGGAATTAAGTAAGTTGTCGAAGAGTAAAACCTTTCTAAAATGTGCTTTAATGGAGTTGTGAAGCTCCTTAACACTTAATCCCTCGGTGTTGTTTTCATTTGAAAAAAAATATCCTCACCATGTTAACTGAGAGCGAGCATCTTATTATCATTTTAGCAACCCTATCGGATTTCTTCCATTTTTCTAATTTTGGGATGTACTCCTTCATCCTCTCAGCATAGTACTCATAAATACGAGAAGGAGCATGTGGTTTTTCTTCATTAAATGCATAATCAAGGCCCAGCTCCTTGAGAATGGCATGCACCTGATTATTCTAAGTAGAAAAATTAGTACAACTTAGGGGTTCTATAGTACTTATATAGTCTGCATAATTTACTTGAAAAAATTGAAGCAAAATAACGTCTCAATTAGTAAGCTATATATAAGATGTATTTAAAGCATAAAGTTAAAACAACGTTAGTTAATATTAACAACATGCTTAAGAACTTTAATTTGCATCACCGTTGGGCAGAAGCAAACCAAAATTCGTCTTAAATAACTCATAATTAAAGTCAACGTTGTTCAGAAATTAACTATGAGTAATCTCCGGTTAAACTTCTTGTTGGTTCCATTTAACCAGAGACCATCTTATTATACAGTAGTGGATATATTTATATATATGAAAACTTTTAATTGAATGCAAGTTCATGCAAAACTTAATCTTAGGGCATAAATTGATCATGAAAACATAAATTGATACTGGAATTGAAGCTAAAACTGAGACTTAGAACTTATTCAAATAGTGCATAAAAATAAACTGAGTAAATTGCACTAAAGAAAAATTTCTTAATCTTAAACATTCTTAGCAACATATTCCCAAAACATACTTAAAATTAACTTAAAGCTCACCGGAAAAAAGCAACTTAAACTTTATATGAAATGGGAATATGCAACATTACGTGGGCCATAAACTTATTTGCAATAAAACACTAATTAATTTACTTATGCAAATGGTAAAGCAAACTTAAATCTGAATAAATATATATTTATATATGGATTAGAATATAGCCCAGAAAAAAAACTTAATTCACTCTTGGGCCAACATTGGCGGCAGAAGAAGTGCACAGTTAGCCGAACGTATCGTGCGGTATGCCTCTGAGCAACAAATGAGAACTCAACCTATAAAAGTAATAAATTACTGATAGGCTGAACCAGTTAGAAAACATAAAACTCAATTCGGCCTTAAATAAACTCAGCACGGAGCAGCCAAAAACACAGCACCAGGCCACGGCCTGCTCATGGCCGAGCCGGCCCATGCGGTTCTTCAATTAAAAGCCTGCTCGGATTTCCCCAAGGCCCATCAGCAGCCCACTCAGCAAAACCCTAAAGCTCAAAGTAACGTGAGCCATCAATCTGAATCCAACGATCACGAAACCTCCAGACAGGAAAACCCTTCGTATAAAAGCAAAAAGCTTAATCGTATGTACTCATCTCATTCGCTCACTTCCTCCCTAGCTTCTTATGTAGCAGCCACACACAGAGAGCGGCGGCGTCCCGGATGGGACGCACGCTACGGCTGGCCCTTCGGCGCTCGGCTCACCGGTGCGCGTGTGCGGCAGGGCCGTGTGTGGCTCCGTCGAGCCTGGGGCCGGGTTCCCTTACGCGGTGCGGGGATAGTGGCAAGGAGGCGACGACCGGAAGCCGGGGCGGCGTGGCCCCGGGTGGTGGAAATGCCAACCCTAATCTGCGCGAGGCGGCACAGCGTGGCCCCGAGGGCGCGCGCGCAGCTCACGGCGGCGGCGGTGGGCCTAGCCCATGGCCCTATCTGCGCGGTGGCGGTGGGCCCTGAGCGGTCTGCATGCGGGCGTGGCCTAGCCCTACAGCGGCGGTGGCGATCGGCCTCGAGCGCTTGGCACTGAGCCACCGGCGCTAAAGACAACCAAGACTGTCGTGGCGACCCGGCCCAAAGGTTGGTCACGGGCACGAGCCATGCGTGGCTCCAAGCGGCGACCCGACTCGAAACCGGATATGAGCCGCACAGGTGCAATCTCAATCTCACTCTCAGATGCTTAATCTTAGGGTTAGGGTCCTTGATTTGGTGAAAAAATATTGGGATTTTTGGGACTTTTGACGGGTTTTGCCCAAATCATCTCCTTCTAAATGCTTATGTCGGCTTGATGCGGTGAAAACCACCTCTGATTGCAAACAATGATCTTAATCTAAAAACTTAATCTCAATTAACAGTAAGACCCTATTTGCTTAATTAATCTAATTGTTCACTGTCATCAATTTGAACCCATCTGGTAGCACTGATCTACACTTGACCTTAACAACAAATCTAATCTTAAAAACAGTGCTAATTTAAAATTAGTAGATCGATCTCATCTAATCTAATAAAGACATAACCTGATCTGAAAACTTAACTTAGATGTGAACTAACGATCTGATCTAAACTCTTAAAGAATAGGTAGCATGTGATTTCCAAAAACTTAGCAGGATCAGCACGTACTTGATAGATGCGGAACAAAGAACTTTAAACGAATCTTAACAGAGGCATAAAACAGAACTGACTCTGGGCTAGGATCGTGTTAGGTCTAAGCAAGCTCCGATACCAATTATTGAATTAGAACCTAGCATAAACAGGATCTAATCTTAGCCTAAATATGATAACTAACTAAATCTTATGCGGAAATTAATCTCATACTAACCAGAGCCTATGAACGAAATCTGTGTCGCTGGAGATGTGAAGTTGATGTAGATGAAGTAGGTCTTAGTCTTCACCAGATCAGGGCTTGATGCTCCTAGTTGATGAAGAACGCGATGTAGATCTTGCAATACCTGGATGGACGTGGGTAGACGGCCTTCGTAAACCCTCCAGCGTCTAATCGATCGGTTATGTGAATAGTCACGGAGATTAGAGAGATCATGACGCCAGGAGCGTCTATCTTATTTATAATCGTGCTATGGGCTAGGGGGCCGAACCCTTAGAATTTTAAGGGTTGCCGCCGATCACGATAGTTCTTATTTAGTTAGAAATAAATAACGAGTGGGTGGACCAAAAGATTAACGCTTAATTAATCTCGTAATTAAATTTAGGATTAGCTGAACCGATCACATTCCAAACACCTGTCAGCAGTGCTAGCTAGCTAGCAGCGCAAGTCATAGTAGCGTGCCTTGATCCTCCATCGGTGATCCGTGCAAGGAATGCTGGTTACCAAGTATGCATTTGTTTATGGCAAATGGAGCCAATATACAGTGTGATTAGCTAGCCTGGGAAGCAGCAGCACGAACAAGCTGCTACCGAATCTTATTAATCTGATCTGATCTCGATGGATCCACAATGCCAAACTAAACGCTGTGACTGAGACGTCCAAGTACGGGCCTCCAACTTCGTTGAAACAAGAGAGATCCCATGTAACAGTGGCCAGTGGGTGGTCATACTGTAGACACAACAGGCGATAGAAGCATGCAGCTGTGTTGTCGTCATTAAATTTATGGCCATGCAGGTACTTTTCACCATCAATCAGCTACTCGCTCGCTCTTCTGGTTCAGGCTCTGTTTAGTTCGCGAAATAAATTTTTTGATGTCACATCAGATGTTTTGGGATGTCGGAAGGGATTTTCAGATACTAATAAAAAAACTAATTACATAGCTCGTCTGGAAACTGCGAGACGAATTTATTAAGCCTAATTAATCCATCATTAGCGCATGTTAGTTAATGTAGCACTTATGGCTAATCATGGACTAATTAGTTTTAAAACATTCGTCTTGCGATTTTCAACCAAACTGTGCAATTAATTTTTTTATCTATATTTAATACTCCATGCATGTGCCGTAAGATTCGATGTGATAGTTTAGGATGAAATTTTTTGGAACTAAACCAGGCCTTACTCCACTCCTGATGACTAGGGGAAATTGCATTGTGCCTGCAAGTCCTGCACGGCTACCAGCTGACGATCGATAGGCTTGCCGATCTTGGCTAGAACGTTGCACAGACGACAAGCAGCACACTGGATGATGCATATATAGGCCCCGTTCGTTGGTCTGAAACTTAGCTGAAATTGGCTAGTTGTTGTGAGAGAGAAATACTGTAGCGGCTGGTTGATGAATAGTGTTTTGTGAGGAGGAGTAGCCGGCTGGTCAACGCGCCCATACGCTCCATAGTACACAGCAGCCCATTAATTTCACCTTTTTTTTTCTTGTTCCATTTCTCACCCCCATAAGGCTATAACCAAACTCCACTGACATGTCCATATATACTCAGTTCATGTTCATCCATCATCCCTTCAAGCAAGAGAACACTACTACAGTGACTTGACTGGCGACCTAGTCCACTGGCCAGACTCCCTGCGAAATCGGGTGGTGGATCATTAGCTAGTGCCTAGTGGGTGTGCATGGCCCGTTGCTTTTCCTATAAATACCACAAGCTCACGCTGTCACGCATCGGCAGTTTGGCACACAGCCTACGCGGCTACGCGCACCCACTCTCAGCTCGGCGGTCGTTGTTCTTTCCTCGCCGCGCTTTGGAGCCCACCTCGGTAGGGTCTCTCGCTCGCTCGATCGCTCGCGCGTGCCTTTGGTGGCCCATGGGGAGGAGGATAAAGAGTGGGCAACGCACGATGCCGCCGCCGCCGTTGCTTCTTCTCTGCTCGTCCTCGGCGTGTCGCTGCAAGGATGCATTGCGCAGGGCCAGGGCGGGGGCGGAGGAGGGCTCACGCGGGGGAGCTTCCCCAAGGGCTTCGTCTTCGGCACCGCCGCCGCCGCGTACCAGGTCGGTGGTTTCTGTCGCCATCTCTCTTCCTAGCTCGTCTTCCCCGAGGAATGGCGTTTCCTTGGTTGTTCTCCGTTGCACTGAGACGTAGTACGTACGCTCGGTTGTGGTGCGGATGACCCTGATCTGCTCGACCCTGAGTAATCCTTCGATCACGCGGGAGTAGTGTATTTGCATTCTTCTCTTGGACTTGCTTCACGACCACATTCATTTGCCATTTAATTGTAGGAGTACCTTACTAGTAACACACAAGCCTTAAATGTTTAGTGATAATACTCCTAGCTATATGGTTTTTCAAAACAACCGGCACCAGTAACCAATTGCCGCTACAGAAGTCAAGCTAATAAGGGGAGATGGATTACTCCGAGAGGACCGCCCGCAATGGAAGGACGAAGAAGACAAAAGAAGTCTGCGCTTTTCCTTTCTGATGACGAGTGACGAGTGCCCGACTGAGTGCGATTATTCTTCCCCCTCTCTGGCTCTCTTGTTGATGCCACAAAGACACAAAGTTGTATTCTTGCCTTGTGTCCTTGGGTTTGCCCGTTTGCCTTTGGATCCTTCTTCTGATTTGTTATATGCAGCATAAAATACTGCTACTCCGTAGCTCCTATCCAGCGGCCTTTTTCATCCACCTCTAACATAACTGTCAGTATACGCGTCGCAGTCGCACCGTCGCACGTACGTATACGGCAAATTTGCACTCGATGGACGATGGGCTCTGCTGATGAAAGCATTTCCATCTCCAGCCTCGAAACCAAAGAGCATAGCTGCATGCCTGCATAGGGTGCATTAGGCTACCACTACCAGTGCCATAAGAATAAACGATTGCAGACACTCTAGAGAGCTGGCCTGGCCCAGCCCAATGGCCGGGGGATGGCGGGTGGTGCCGCGCTTAGCTGTTCCGTTCAGTCCAGTCCTGGAAGATTCGACAGGAACAGAACGACCGGAATCCTGGGCGTTCGCGGTTCACGTGCCGCGTCCGTTTGTGTCGAAACAGGCTAGGTACAAGCAACTCGCACCGCCTGCCGTGCCCGTGCGTGGCCACGGCCCCACCCCACCCCACCGCCGGCCACATGGCACCGACGGATCAGCATCAGCTCGTCCTGCCTCGTATGCCGCGCGGCGGAGGCCTGTGAGACTCTGAGGCTAGCTAGTCTGAGCAGAGCAGGATCCACGAACGGACGCACGCCGACGCCGGCCGCGGCTCCCGTGCCGGCCGGGCTGCCGGTGTCCACCCGGTCACCACCGGCCACCGCAGCCGCGCAGGTAGGCCCGGCCTTCGCCAGCTCGCCTTACCCGGTTACCCCACCCCGCCGCCGTTCGGCACATCGATCGGCGTCGAAACGAAACGCCAAGTCCAGACTGAATCGACCGACCGGCCTTGATGCTTGAAACAAACCATCTTTGCTCGGTCAGGAATTTAGGCGCCGAACGCATCTACTACACGGTTTTGTTTCATGAAGAAGTGTTTTTCTTTTTAACAGTTACATTACATGTAAGAAAGCAGTAGACAAACTTCTCTTCTGCTGTTTACTGCCAGCCTGACACAGCCCATTGCCATCTTCGATTCTGATCTGAACAAATGTTTTGCAGTACGAGGGAGCCATCACGACGGATGGCAGAGTGTTAGCACAATGTAATTATAGTGCTGATGTATTTATGGTAGGCTACCTTTGATTGATTGTGCCTGTATTTATGATAGGCTACCCTTGATTGATTGTGCCTGTAATTTTGCCTGTGTGGTTAGCTGCATGCCACCCCGGCTATATGTACACCTGTACAAGATATGAATGATATTGTATTCCAATCACGTTTACGTGGTATCAATCGCGATTACGATCCGCTACTCTTCCGCAACCCTCGCCAGCTGCCGATCCGATCGCTGCCTCCGTCGCTGACACCGTCGCTGGGCGCATCGCCGGTCCCATCGCCTGCGCCTCCACCAGATCACCGGCACCCGTCGTTGACCTTGTCACCGGGTGCTGCCGCTGGTCTGCTCGCCTGCCCCGCTGGTTTCCCAATGGCGGATGACGCCGACGCTGCTGCGGCCGCCGCCACCGCCAAGGAAGCTGAAGATCGCCGTCTCGCCGCGGCCTCCGAAGAACGTCGCCTCGCGACTGAGGCCGAAGCCCACGCTGAAGAAGCACGTCGCGCCGCGGAGGCCCATCTCCGCGCCGCCGCGCGGGACGCGTACGAGAGCGCCGACGAGGCCCTTTGGGCACAGGCCACTGCCGTCGTCAACGTCAAGGCCCTCATCCCCGTCATCCTCGATCACGCCACGAACACCTACAGCAAGTGGCGCGGCATGTTCCTCACCGTCCTTGGCAAATATGCCCTGACTCGCCACGTTCTCGATGACGAGGCCTTCCCCTTGTGCCCGGCATGTCTGCAGGTAGATTGCGTCGTCTTGACGTGGATCTATGGCACTGTCTCCAACGATCTGCAGCAGTCCCTGATGATGCGGCAGCGACCCGCTCGCGGTGCCTGGTGCTACCTCGAGGACGAGTTCCTCGGCCAGCGGGAGTCCCGCGCGCTCCTCCTCGAAACACAGTTCCGCAACTTCAACCAAGACGCCCTGAGCATCACCGACTACTGTCGTTGTCTCGAGTCGATGGCCACCTCTCTCGCCGAGTTTGGCGACCCCATCGGCGATCGGCAGCTGGTGCTCACGCTCCTCCGTGGCTTGAGTGGCAAGTTCCGCCATATGGTGTCCATCCTCAAGATGCATCTCTCGTTCCCGATGTTGGTAGAGGCCCGGACACACCTCCTGCTGGAGGAGATGGAGATCGACGCCCAGCCACCGTCGCCGCCATCCGCTCTCGTTGCTGCCACTCCGCGCCCGACGGTGCCCGGGGCACCAGCGCCTCCACGCTCGGGGACGTTCCCCCTGCGCGCCCTCCTGGTGCACCCACTGGTGGCCAGCACAACGGCCGTCGTCGCGGACGCGGTGGACGCGGCGGCCCATCAGCGCCCCCTGGTGGTGCGGCCCCAGGCGTGCACGGCGGCATGCACCCGTCCTTCGTGCACCCGTGGGCCGGCATCGTACAGATGTGGCCCTACGACCGGTCTGGGTGCCCTCCACCGGCGCCTCCGGCGTTCACCGTCGTTCCTCGGTATGGTGGTTTCGGTGGCGCATATGGTGGTACCTACGGCCCTCCGCCTCCTCAGTACGGCCCGTCCTTCGGGAGCGCCGGCTCGTACTACAGGGGAGCCGCGCCTCCACCACCAGCACTGCCGGCCTTCCAGGCGCCCTCACCGGCCCACCAGGTCACTCCAGCTCTCGGGCTGTTCATAATTTTGATTTAATACACTGTGATCTCTGGACATCTCGTATTGTTAGTGTGTCAGGCTATAAGTATTACCTCGTTATTCTTGATGACTGCTCACACTACATGTGGACCTTTCCTCTTCTCCTCAAATCTACCCACGGGGGCTCATGGCATCAGGACTCCCTGGCGCACTCCTTCAACACCATGACGCTCCACCCGACGGCTCCATCACCCGAGTGGTACGCCGATTCAGGGGCTGTTTCCCACATGACCGCGGACGCTGGTAAACTCTCTACCATTTCCCCACCTTTTTCATCTACTCCTTCATCTATCATTGTGGGAAATGGTGCACTACTTCCTGTCACTGCCACTGGATCACACACTTTTTCTTTCCCGGGTCGCAATCTTGTTCTTAACGATGTTTTGGTGTCTCCCGACATTATTAAGAATCTGATTTCTATCCATCGTTTTACCACCGATAATAACTGTTCCATCGAATTTGATCCTTTTGGCCTTTCTGTGAAGGACTTGCACACCAGGAACGTGATCGCCAGGTGCAATAGCTCTGGCGACCTCTACCCGTTCTACCCCACCTCCACCAGCGCCACCGCGTTCCTCGCCACTCCCACTTCCCTTTGGCATCGTCGTCTCGGGCATCTTGGGCGTGAAGCTCTGTCCAAACTTATCAGTTCCAATGTTATTTCTTGTAATAAGGATGATCTAGACCACATATGTCATGCGTGCCAACTTGGTCGTCATGTGCGTCTTCCTTTCAGTTCCTCCAGTTCTCGGGCTGTTCATAATTTTGATTTAATACACTGTGATCTCTAGACATCTCCTATTGTTAGTGTGTCGGGCTATAAGTATTACCTTATTATTCTTCATGTCTGCTCACACTACATGTGGACCTTTCCTCTTCGCCTCAATTCCGAGACTTTTTCTGTTCTTTCTAATTTTTTTGCTCATATTCGCACGCAGTTTGGCACCACCATCAAGAGCGTCCAGTGCGACAATGCCCGAGAATTCGACAATTCTTAGGCCCACCCGTTCTTCCTCTCCCACGGTGTTGCACTCCGCATGTCGTGTCCATATACATCCCGACAAAACGGAAAAGCGGAACGTTCTATTCGCACCATCAATAACATTATGTGTTCCCTTTTGTTTCAGGCGAGCCTCCCTCCGGTTTACTGGGTTGAGGCCCTTCACACCGCGACATATCTTGTGAACCGGCTCCCCACTAAAACCCTCGTTTTTTGACCCCTCACACCTCTCTTTATTCCACTCAGCCCTCTTACGCCCATCTTCGGGTTTTTGGCTGTGCCTGCTATCCCAACACATCATCCACGACACCTCACAAACTCACCCCCGTTCCTCTTTATGTGTTTTCCTTGGGTATTCCTCGGAACACAAGGGCTATCGGTGTCTTGAACTCCAATCCAATCGCATTCTCATCTCTCGACATGTCATTTTTGATGAATCTTTTTTTCCTTTCTCTGCCATGTCCGCCACGCCCATGACATCCTCCGCCTTGGATTTTTTAGTTGATGAACATGATTTTACCGCTCCCTTCCCTGGAGCCCGTGCTATGCTTGCAGGTCTTCCACCGTCAGCTGCCGCCATGCCGCATGTTGGGCATGGCCCTATGCACGTGCGTGACCCTGTAGCCGCACCTGTAGGTTCACCACCATCGGTGCATGGCCCTGTGCACGTGCATGGTCCTGTAGCCGCTCCGGAGCATGCCCACGTGCCGCGATCGCGCTGGCCACTCATCGCCTAGTTCTCTATCTTTGGTTGCCCGACCCAGACCAGCTGTTCTTTGCCCATCATGCATCCAAAGATAGGTTGTTGCTGCCCACGCCTGGCGCCTCATCCTCCATGGTGCCTCTGAGTGCTGCCGGTTCTGCTGCCCCTGACGCTCGTGCGCAGGTTGTTGCCAGCGGCATCGGCCGCACTGCTGCCACTCAGGCCGATCTCCATCACCCGGTCACCAATGTGCATTCCATGCGCACGCATGGCAAGGCTGGCATTGCGCAGCCCGTGGATCGTCTAAACCTCCACGCTGTGCCCATGTTGCCATTGCCGCGCTCTGTTCGGGATGCTCTGTAAGATCCTAATTGGCGTGCTGCTATGCAAGCTGAGTATGATGCACTTCTCGCCAATGACACCTGGAGTCTTGTTCCTCGGTCCCCTGGCGTCAATCTGGTAACCGGCAAGTGGATTTATCGTCATAAGCTGCTCGGCGATGGTTCTCTTGATCGCTATAAGGCTCGCTGGGTTCTATGGGGTTTCACACAGCGCCCCGGTATTGATTATGATGAAACTTTCAATCCATTGGTCAAGCCAGCGACAGTTCGGGTGGTTCTGTCCTTGGCCATCTCTAAGCATTGGCCCATTCATCAGCTTGATGTCAAGAATGCGTTTTTACATGGCACTCTGACAGAGAGAGTCTACTGTGTCCAACTTTCCGGTTTCGTTGACTCGTCCCGTCCGGATTTTGTCTGTCGACTCAACAAATCTCTTTATGGTCTGAAGCAGGCTCCTCGTGCTTGGCATACCAGGTTTGCCACACACCTCCTGTCCGTTGGGTTTGTTGAGGCCAAGTCAGATACTTCGTTGTTTACATATCATCGGGCTTTGACACCACCTATCTGCTATTATATGTTGATGACATTGTTCTCACTGTCTCCTCAGTTGGGTTTCTTCAACATATCATTGCCGCCTTACAGCGTGAGTTTGCTATGACAGACATGGGCTAGCTTCATCATTTTCTTGGTGTTTTCGTCGCACACTGTGACGATGGTTTATTCCTCTCTCAGCGGTAGTATACTCTGGATATTTTGGAGCGCGCCGGGATGAGTGCTTGCACGCCTTGCAACACTCCCGTCAACCTGCACTCCAAATTGTCTGTAGATGGTCCTCCAGTTGCTGACTCCACACACTACTGCAGTTTAGCTAGTGCTCTCCAGTATCTGACATTCACTCGTCTAGACATTACCTATGCCGTCCAGCAGATCTGTCTCTATATGCATGATCCTCGAGAGCCACACCTTGCTGCTCTCAAACGGATCTTACGCTACTTACAGGGCACTCTGTCACTTGGCTTGACTCTGCGCCCCTCGTCACCTGCTGAGCTTGTTGTCTATACTGATGCTGACTGGGCCGGCTGCCCCGACACTCACCGATCGACCTCTGGCTATGCAGTGTTCCTCAGGGATAATCTGGTGTCCTGGTCCTCCAAGCGTCAACACACAGTCTCTCTGTCGAGTGCAGAGGCCGAGTATCGTGCTGTGGCAAATGGTGTCGCTGAAGCTTCTTGGCTGCGTCAGTTACTCATGGAGCTTTGCCACCCACCTTGCCGAGCCACGTTGGTCTATTGTGATAACATTAGTGCTGTCTACCTTTGCACCAATCCAGTCCAGCATCAGCGCACGAAGCATGTTGAGATTGATCTCCATTTTGTTCGGGAGCGAGTCGCCCTTGGCCAAGTTCGGGTTATTCATGTCCCAACGACATCTCAGTACGCCGACGTCTTCACCAAGGGTCTCCCAACCTCTGTGTTTCAGGAGTTTCGATCTAGCCTGAACGTTCGTTGTGCTCCCGTTCCGACTGCGGAGGAGTGTTAGCACAATGTAATTATAGTAGGCTGATGTATTCATGGTAGGCTACCCTTTCTTGATTGTGCCTGTATTTATGGTAGGCTACCCTTGATTGATTGTGCCTGTAATCTTGCCTGTGTGGTTGGCTACATGACACCCCGGCTATATGTACACCTATACAAGATATGGATGATATTGTATTGTAGTCACGTTTACACAGAGGACAGATAATGTGGGACACGTTTGCACACACTTTTGGTATGTACGGTGCTTCTGAATTTTCTCTAGTTATGGTTACAAAAGCAGATGGTTCTTTCTTCGTACGACCATCATTTGTGTGCCGAGGGATGCTTTCGCCCTGGCTTTTGGCGTGTCTTGTAAATGTTTGGAACTCTCTCTTCTTTTACAACTTTTTTTTTATAATTTATAGATATATGCAAGTAAGTTTTTTTTGGAGGAAAATATATGCAAGGAAGTAACTGGATATGAAAACTTTAGAGTCTCACAAACTTGCACGCTTGCGCTCCTTTCCAGTTTTCTGTCCTTTCTGTTCTGCCCACCTTTCCCCATCTTTCACTGTTGCTTAACCCTGCCTTTCCTGGTAAAATTTCAAAACCGCAAGACAAGGCTTCTATGGTTAAGAATAACCATCTACATTTGCCATGGTTACACGCCTTGGCAGCTCCACCTGCACAGCTGCACTAGTTGCCATTATCTGGGCTAACAAAAATACAAAATCACGGTTCCATTTCTGAAGAATAGTGTGCCACTCCGACCATTGGCTCACCGCACTGTGCCATATACATGCGTGTATATGTGGCGCATGCATTCTCCCTTTTTCTAAAGTTGGACGCATAGTGCAGCAAACAAGACCACAATTGTGCTCGTGCGAGGTGATATGCTCCACCTACATCAGTCCAATGAGTACATGTCCCATCTGTGCCCCTGTGATTGGGGGAATCAACGAAAGGAATATGTTTTTAGCCTGGTCATTAACTTGTCCAACCTAAAACAGTGGGTTGGACTCAGCATGGGCAGTCAGTTGACATTTGTTCAGACTTGTCGTGACCGTTGGACCAATGCAAGAGTGTCCGCTTTGTGATTGCAGGAAGCTGAACGCAAAGAGTTTTTTTTTTTCATTTTGATTCTGTAGGCAAGATCTCGGACTTCAGCAATGCGGATGTTGCAGTTGATCAGTACCACCGTTTCGAGGTAGCAGTTTGCTTTCACTTTCACTTTCAGGGTGGCATGTGTGCATTGTCTGCACCGCATGATGTTGATGACCTATAGGATGGTCTATGTGACGTTTTGAGATTTCTGTTTTCAGGAGGACGTGCAGCTCATGGCGGACATGGGAATGGATGCGTATCGCTTCTCTATTGCCTGGTCAAGAATTTTACCAAGTACGTGATAACTGAAACGGCAGTGGTCCTATAGCTTGGTGTGATAATCCTGATATCTTTCAGCTTCTTTTGCCTGGACAGTTTCATTTACGTTCGGTTACTGTTGTTTTACTCATCTTTGGGCTTGAATTGTTCTTGTTGCTACAGATGGTACCGGCCAAGTCAATCAGGCTGGCATTAACCACTACAATAAAGTGATCAATGCACTACTATCAAAAGGTGAATGGAGTGGAACAACACCTGAATACTGAATCAAAGTAACTGGTCTGAATTGCTTAGATTTGAATTTTTTAGGAATTCAGCCATATGTAACCCTGTACCACTGGGACCTCCCCCAGGCCCTGGAAGACAGGTACAACGGATGGCTGGACAGGCAGATAGTGTAAGCCCCTCAAACTGCAATTCTTACTCTAGACACACTCTTTGCAACACTTCACTGGCCCTTCATAGCATAATTAAAAATGTCAATGCTCAAAATACAGTAATGACTTTGCGGCTTATGCTGAGATATGCTTCAAGGCGTTTGGAGACCGTGTGAAACACTGGATCACGCTCAATGAGCCGCACACGGTTGCCATTCAAGGCTACGACGCTGGGCTTCACGCCCCAGGGAGCTGTTCAGTGCTGCTCCATCTATACTGCAAGACAGGGAACTCTGGCACTGAGCCCTACATCGTTGTGATAGAATCTTAGGATCATCTAGGTGTAGATTCGTGGGTGGATTCATCTCTATTTTGTTCAAATAGATCTAGAACATGAATCGGGAGAGGGAGACAGAGAAAGAGAGAGACCCATACCTTCGGGGTTGGCAGAGAAGATAGAGGAGGAAGCACGGTAGAGTCCAGAGGACGGGGCACCGCCGAGGGGCTTCCCATCACTTGCAGCGCTGCCCATGAACGGAGGGGCCTTCTAGGGTTACTTCGGTGAGTCGGTGGCGGCGTCGAACCTTGTGTCTAGCGCCGGCCCCCACCTATCTCTTAAAGCGCTGTGTGACAGGGGCCCGCCAACCAGTGGTCGGTTGTGTGTTCCCGATCAGGACGCGGTTAAGGCGTCCGACTCAGTCGTTGGACTGAGTCGGATGAGATCAATCCTAACATTCTCCCCCTTGATCTCACCATATGACTTAAACTTAACTTACTTACTTTATCTTGTTCCTATTCTATCACAGATCAGTGCATAGAGTGTGCCTCATCGTCACGGTCAGTTGCCATTAGACTTAACGGCTACAATGCACCTCTCTGTTTTGAAACAGATACTCAACTAGGCCCTTAGTATCTAGAAATCATAGACTTTCCCATAAACCCATGTCGTCTGTGTGTTCTCTGAACGCACTGGGTGGTTAGCCTTTGGTAAGCGGATCCGCAAGTACTTACGGATTTTCTCCTTTATAACATATAACTTAGTGTCAATGTGTTTGGCAGCACACTTAACCTATTGTCTTAGGAGTTAACTGACTTTAAATTGTTATTGCTGTTGTCTACCATTGTTAAATTCGGATACAAATTCCCTTAACCTCTTTTTGCCTATTCCTTAAGCCCCATGTCAAGCTATACTATGGTATGCATCACTGATGACACCACAACTGTTTCTTTGGAGCTTTTCAACAATAATACTCCAACTGCGAGTATTAGCAACTGCTGTGGATTTCACTACACATCTTGTCAAGACTTAACTTTTGTACCCACAACTATTTGAGAGTACTTATTCTTTCTTACTCATCATGAGACCTATGATACTTTGCTAAATTGTAAGACATTCTCAACTCCATTCCGGTGATCTATATCTGAACTAGACTTCTATAAAAAATATCCCGGATACGTAAACTACGTCAGGGTAAGTACTTACTCATATTTGTACACTCATCAAGCTTTCAACAGCTGAAGCATATGAAACCATATTCATTTGATCGATCTCATATCGGTTCCTGCAATACTTAAAGTTTCCAAACCTATTGCCCTTGACTATAGGAGCAGGTGTAGGTTTACTCGCATGCATACTTTACTTCTTTAGAATCTTTTCTAGGTATGCCTTTGTGATGGTTTTAATACCCCATTTTTTTCTATCTCGATGAATTTCGATTCGTAGAACCAATGACGCTTCACCAAGATCATTCACATTGAAACTTGAGGACAAAACTTCTTCTCCAATGACAGATTAACATCACTACTAGTGAGTAGAATGTCATCTATTCACAGGATGTGGAAAATGAACTTTCCATTCTTGAACTTCGCATAAACGCTATGGTCCTTCTCATTTTCTGTAAAACCTAAACTTTTTATTGTTTTCATCAACTTCAAATAGTACTGTCTAAAGACTTACTTTTAACCCATAAATGGATTTCTACAGGCGGCATCCCATATGTTTTTCCCTTCCACGACAAAACCTTTTAGGTGGTACCATGTAATCGTTTTAATACAAATTCCCGTTGATGAATGCCATCTTTACATCCATCTGATGTAACTTTAAATCATAATGTGCCATTAACACCATTATAATTCTAAAAGAATTCTTACATAAGACTGGAGAGAAAACTCTCATTGTAATATTTTTATTCTCTTTGCGTAAAGTATATTGTTACAAGTCATGCTTTATATCTTTCTACATTCCCTTTAGAGTCACATTTTATCTTATAGACTTATTAATAGCCTACTGTTTTGGCTCCATTAGAAATTACTTCTAAGTCCCAAACATCGTTGGTATTTATCGAATTCATTTCAACTTTCATAGCTTCTTACCATTTAAACGAGTAAACGCTTCTCATGGCTTCTTCAAATGAGGTGGGATCACCCTTTATTTGAATTTCTTTATTAACATAGGCTTCATTGTCATCAGAAAAACTAGTTTACTAATTCTTTGAGACCCTCTGGAGGCCGCAGCTACTGACACTTTCATATGGGACTGTTATTGCCCTTTATTGCCAAGAGACAATTGATTCTACAGGCTCCTATATCATAAGATCCTTGTTTATATTATTCATCTTCTTCGAAGAGCCAACAACAGCTGTTGTACAAGTTATACAACATTAATAGGTATTGAAAAATTTGTTGTTTTGAATCACTGAAGTGGGCAAGTAGTCCCGCTTCTCTTCAAGTCTTAGGTCTCTACATACCTCTACATACCATGCTCTCACAGATCTTCTCATCTTTTTTAAAGATAGTGTATCTTCAAATTTTATATTTTGGATTTAATCTGTTAAAACCTCATATGGCGCTTTAAGCACTACCTTAACATCTTTGAGGCTGACTACGCTATTTTTCTGTCGGAACTTTAAAAGGTCTAGGAATTTAGTTATTTCTCCGCTTAGGGGTATCTTGTTGTGACCGTTGTACTCCTCCGACGGTCGCATACATCTTAATTAATCTTTATCTCACTCTTAATAAAGAGTATCTTTCTTAATTAATCTTAATATTCTACCCCTCGAAATATGGCATGAACTTTACTGTCATAATTTCGAGAACCATTAAGAAAAACTATGAACGAGGAGACATATATATAACTTACTTCATTCGCATGATTGTGTCATGTAAACAAAGTTATTTCTTGATCCGTTTAGTAGTACACTTTCCTTCTTTCACTTTAAAAACTCAATGAGGTCTTTCATTAGCAGTACTTTTGCAAGTCACGCTTGTATGTTTTTCTTATCCTTTGGTTAGTATTGACCATGACGCTGCGTTTCTATTGTGCCACGGTCAATACTAGGACAACATAAGAGCAACCCAAACTTTTCTCGCTATGCAGGATACAAAACATGTGAATCATCACAAAACTTCTCCCGCCATGCAGGATTGACTAGTACTATACTAAACTTCTCCCCATGCGGGATATGTCTATTCAAAATTTAGTCATGATGACTAAAACATTCCCTTATACTTTCATCTTTCAATTAAATCTTCTCGTTGGTTCTAATTTAATCAGAAAATTAATAAATTAACAAAAAACTGTCCTAAATTGGCTTGACTCAAGCTATTTTCACCCACATATCCCACCATTGTAGCCCGTTGACATATAGCCGAGTGATCTCGTCGGTTAAAATAAAACATACAATATGCTTCTGCATCAATTCTACTTCATCGTTGGGCAGAAAATAGAATTAATGCATAAAACTCATAAATTAACTTGAAAATCCATATAACTACTCTTCAAAATTAAATTCTTCCGTTGGTTCGAATTTAATTGGAAGATAATCAACATCATGACAGCGAAAACTTGATAATGAAATACATTCTATTAGTTTAGGAACATTTCTTGGTCCTTATCTACTCTTTAAAAAATTGATCACATTGGTGTAAAATTTATCAGAGATTTAAACTTCAAACTTAAATTCATTATAATATGGTCATCATCAACGTTGGTCAAAAAATGACAATACCATAATCTTACATAAACAAAAACGGACTATTCCTCTAATTGAATTTTTCCGTTGGTTCCAATTTAATTAGAGGATAAACGTAATCATAATTTACTAAATATAACAGCTCTTCAAATAAAATTCTTCCATTGATTCAAATTTAATTAGAAGATAATCAACATTAAACTTTGCAGTGAAAACTTAAACAAAATTAGTGAATTTTACCCACATGAAACTTCTCTTTACTAATTTTCTTTGAGCCATTAATCATTTTCCAGGAAATAACAATTTACTGGAAAAACAAAAAGAAAAATGGACTCAATTCTTTACTGTTGCCCGGCCCGACGGCACAACCAGCCCAGCCTGCCTTGCGCGCGCGTGCGGCTCCCTCCCAGGCCGTAACCTGGGCCTAGGCCGAGAAAGCGGCTCGCCCGCTCACGCCCGCCTAGGCCAGCCTCCGACCCGTCGCCTCTGCGCCGTTGATGCAGATCGGACGGCCACGTGCGCGTCTCGACGGATCAAAACCGGCGACAACGATGCTCCCTCGGAACCCTAGCTCATTCTCTTTCCCTTTCTCTCTGTCTTCACCCGTGACGACCTGCTCTCTCTCCTTCTCACTCTAGAACTTCGACGGTCGGAGATGGTGGCGTCGCCGTGGGGCCCCTCGCCGGTGAGCGCGCTCGCCCGAGGCTGAGCGCGCCGCCGTTGAGCGGCCTTGCGCCGTTGCCCTTGACCTCACGCTCTCGATCCCTTTCTCTCTCTCAGTGGCAGCGACCGAGCGCTAGAGCGGCAGCGGCCACCGGAGCTGGTAGAGGGGTGGTGGTGCCGTCGTCGGCCCCCTCGCTGGTGCACGCGCTCCCCGGCGGGTGAGCATGCCACCGTCGAGCGGTCTAGCGGTGGCACCCTAGCACACGTCGCGGTGCGTCGGTGCGGAGTCTTTCCTGGAGTGCTCCGGTGAGTGGAGGCCGGCGAGGTAAGCCGCCTCCCAAAAACTTTTCCCCTTATTCTTTCTACTTGATTCTTCTTTCTCTTCTTCTCGGAGCTTGTTCGATCTAGGGTTAGTGTGGGGGTATGGCCCCCAAGACATGGACCGCACCATCGGAGGTGGCCCGGCCCATAAGATCAAGGCGTGCACGGCGCTGCTCGGCGTGCACCGCAAGACATTGTATAGTACCAAATAGGATACTTTACTTGTAACCCTGCCCCTCCAGAGTATATAAGGAGAGGCAGGGGTCCTCTACTCGACATCATGTATTCAATACAATACACCAAAGACACAGGACGTAGGGTATTACGTCGATCAGACGGCCCGAACCTGTCTAAATCGCTGTCTCTGCGCCTTGTGTCACCATCTGGTTCCTGATTACGCGCATCCCCACCGATAAATCTACCATCGCGGGATACCCCTCGGTGGACTGCCGAGCATATTCTGTCGACAGTTAGGGTTCGGGGTTACTGTTCATCTTCCCCGATGGGTTAGGGTTCGGGTTGAGACACTATTCTTCTTCCACGATGGGTTAGGGTTCGGTTGAACCCTCTGCATCTCTATTTCTTCTCCCGATTAGGGTTAGGGTTTCAATCTGAACCGGAATGAACCCTCTGCTTCTCTATCTCTTCGATTTCTTTTCATTTTTCTACCCCAAACTGGATCTACCCACTAGCAACCTATCTCTGATACCATTGATAGAATCTTAGGATCATTTAGGTGTAGATTCATGGGTGGATTCATCTCTATTTGGTTTAAATCGATCTAGAACATGAATCGGTAGAGGGAGACAGAGAAAGAGAGAGACCCATACCTTCGGGGTTGGCAGAGGAGATAGAGGAGGAAGCACGGTAGAGTCCAGAGGACGGGGCGCTGCCGGCGGGGCTTCCCATCACTTGCAGCGCTGCCCATGATCGGAGGGGCCTTCTAGGGTTATTTCGGTGAGTCGGTGGCGGCGTCGAACCTCGTGTCTAGCGCCCCGCCCCCCACCTCTCTTATAGCGCTGTGTGACAAGGACCCATCGACAAGTGGTCAGTTGTGTGTCCCCGATCAAGACGCGATCAAGGGGTCCGACTCAGTCGTTTGGTGAGTCGGATGAGATCAATCCTAACACGTTGCTCACAACTTCATCTTGGCCTCATTCGGATGGTGCAAAAACCAGCCGAAATTTCACTGTTCACGACTGAAAGTTACTATTCATGGCTGATTTTCTCTCATAAATTCATCCAAATCCCTCTAAATTTCTCCAAGCGAATGGGGCCAAGATGAAGTTCTAATATTATGTCTATGCGACTATGCTAATAAGTTGGTATTCTTTCTATTAAATTGTAGGCAGCTCAGAATGGTGAACTTGGGATCGCATTTGACGTCATCTGGTACGAACCAATGACAAACAGCACGATTGACATTGAAGCTACGAAAAGGGCACAAGAGTTTCAGCTAGGATGGTGAGCGACTGAACTGAAGTTATTGTTGGAAAATTATAAAATGGATGATTGCTTATCCGGTTTAACTTGGAAGGTTCGCGGATCCGTTCTTCTTCGGAGATTACCCGGCGACGATGAGAACTCGGGTTAGAGAAAGACTGCCCAAGTTCACGGCAGATGAAGCCAAGGTTTTTATTTTCGGAAATTAAAATTTATCGAGGGTCACAGATAAAAAGGATAAACAGGATATATCGAAAATATCGGACCAAATTCAAATAAAATTTAATTTGAATTTAAGTAAATTTAAATAAATTTGAATAAAATTTGTACAAAAAAGATAGATATTTTCTTATCGACACCTACAGATAAAAAAGATATATCGGAAATATCGGGAGATTTCGGCCGATAAATTTTTCCTTGGATGAAGCTGCCCTTGTCAAGGGGCTTTGGACTTCATGGGCATAAACCACTAGACCACTTTCTACACGAGGCATAACGATACCAACATCACCGTGCGACTGCTGAATGACACCGGAACCATCAGCCTGCGTGAGTTCTCATCGTGTCCGCAAGTTCATTTCAACTGCCCTCCTGCCCCCCAAAAAAAAACTGAAAATGAGAAACCTTTAAAGCTGCTAGCCTGCTACTGACCCTTCAAACTTACAGCGTGTTCGGCTGGCTTAAAGCTAGCCGGCTGGCTTGTTCCGCCACTCACGAAATCACTGTTCACATCCTGTCAGAACAATATTTCTCTCTCACAAGAATCAGTCGGAACAGTATTTTTCAGTCCTGCCGAACAGGCCCTTACAAACGGACTAAGTTTCCTATCTGATCGTACAAAAACTGTTAGTGACACTTCAAATTTGAAACTGTGGTTGGGTGAGTTGGGTGGAAAAAACCCATTGGAGATAGGGTGAGTTGGGTGGAAAAAAACACATTCTTGCATCATATAGTACAGAGCAATATCGTATCAAATCTGTCAATGTGAAACTCCTCTGACGTCGCTGCGCAGGCTAATTCGATATGGCTGTACATCGTACCCAGCGGGATGAGGGAGCTGATGAACTATGTCAAGGAGAGGTACAATAGCCCAACGGTTTACATCACTGAAAATGGTAAGGCCAAGTGCTGTGGAACCTGGATTATATTAGCTTTGCTGGATTACGTCGGTGCTCTGAAACTGCGCTACCGATGAATTCTGATGCAGGGATGGACGACGGCAACAGCCCTTTCACTTCCATCCAGGACGCGCTCAAGGACAGCAAGAGGATCAAGTACCACAACGACTACCTCAGCAACGTTGCTGCCTCCATAAAGTACTGAAGATTACTGTGCTTCCTCATGTTCTAATATCACATATTCGCTACATTTCCAGTTTAATTTCCTGCGATCCCTGGCTGCATACATACATGCCTGATAGCTGGAAGCGTGATGCTGTTTGCAGGGAGGACGGGTGTGACGTGCGTGGGTACTTCGCGTGGTCGCTGCTGGACAACTGGGAATGGGCCGCCGGGTACACCTCGAGATCCGGGCTCTACTTCGTGGACTACAAGGAATATATGTACATGCAGCCCGAAGCCCGATGGCCCGGCCCAAAGCCCGCCTTTTTGGCCCGGCCCGGCCTTCTTCATGCCCGTGCTGGCCCGACCCGGGGTAGCAGGCCGTGCTTGGGCTGCTCCCCCAGCCCGGCGGGCGGCACGGCCCGGCCCGGGCAAAAAAGGAGGCACGGAGACGGCCCGCTAGCTAGGGGAAGCACGACGCGGCCACTCGCAGCCTCTCACCGTTCCCCTGTCAAACCCTAATCCCCATTCCCAGTGGAAATTTCCCACCCACCGGCCACCAGCCGCGGCACCTCTCTCTCTCTCACTCTCACAGTCACTCCGCTCCTCCCACCCCGCTGCCGCGCGGCCACCAGAGGGCAGAGGAGGATCCTCACCTCCGCTCAGGCGCTCACCTCGATAGATTCGGCGTCATGCGTCAAGCTCCGCGTGGCCAGGGGCTCCTTACCTCCACGCGGTCGCGCCCTGGAAGCGCCGCCGCCGGCGTGCCCCTATGGCCCTACCTCCTCTTGCCGCGCGCGGCTGTTTGTAAGGTCCTAATGGCTAGAGGGGGTGAATAGCCTATTAAAAATTTTTACAACAACAATTAATAAACCGGTTAGATAATTATGAGGCGAAACAAGTGTTGCGCTAGCATACTAAAAATGCAAGCCACCTACCATAATTCTAGTTTATATAGTTTCTATCCACACAATAGCTATGTCACTACACTAAGTTAGTGTGCTCTCAAAAGCTAACTAAAGAGCCACACTAACCAAACTAACAAGCTCTCACAACTAGCTACACTAAAGAGCTTGACAACTAATTTGCGGTAATATAAAGAGAGTTAGCAATTTGTTTATACCGCCGTGTCGAGGAAGGTGCCAATCAATCACAAGAATGAATACTAATGAAGACCAATCACCTCGGAATCAAATGATGAACACAATGATTTTTTATCGAGGTTCACTTGCTTGTCGACAAGCTACTCCTCGCTGTGGCGATTCACTCACTTGAAGGTTCACGCGCTAATTGGCATCACACGCCAAACCCTCAATAGGGTGCCACACAACCAACACAAGATGAGGATCACACAAGCCACGAGCAATTCACTAGAGTACCTTTTGACTCTCCGCCGAGGAAAGGTCAAGAACCCCTCACGATCACCACGATCGGAGTTGGAGACAATCACCAACCTCCGCTCGACGATCCTCGCTGCTCCAAGCCGTCTAGGTGGCGGCAACCACTAAGAGTAACAAGCGAATCCCACAGCGAAACACGAACACCAAGTGCCACACCAAGTGCCTCTAAATGCAAACACTCAAGCATGCACTTGGATTCTCTCTCAATTTCACAAAGATGATGAATCAATGATGGAGATGAGTGGGAGCGCTTTGGCTAAGCTCATAAGGTTGCTATGTCAATGCAAATGGCCAAGGAAGTGAGCTTGAGCAGGCTATGGGGCTTAAATAAAGAGCCCCCACGAATAGAGCCGTTGTACCCCTTCACTGCGCACAACACGGGGTGATCGAACGCTCCGGTCATATCGACCGGACGCAGGACCCCAGCGTTCGGTCGTGCGATGCACGCCACGTGTCCCCTCTGTTCAAATAATGAGCACCTGATCCCAACGGTCAAGTGATGACCAGACGCGCTGCTGCGAAGTGATCGGACGCTGGACCTCAGTGTCCGATCATTTCTAGTAAGCATTCAGAAGCAAGAAATCACGATCGGACGCGTCCGGTCATGCTCGACCAGACACACCCAGCGCCCGGTCACTCTACGTCATCATACGTCAGACTGACCGGACACAGGCCTTGAGCGTCCGGTCAGTTTTCGCGCCAGCGTTCGGTCATGAGACCGAAACTGTGGGCCCTCTACTGCCACTGACCGGACGCGCCGGTCCAACCGAGGCCAGCGTCCGGTCACTTACAGTGACCCCCGTCTTTTCTGTATAGGGCGCCGGTGGCACCGTCGGACTGTTTGCCCTCTATGGGCGGACACTCCGCTGGTGAAGTTTCTTACCCTTGCTCAAATGTGCCAACCACCAAGTGTATCACCTTGTGCACATGTGTTAGCATATTTTCACAAATATTTTTAAGGGTGTTAGCACTCCACTAGATCCTAAATGCATATGCAATGAGTTAGAGCATCTAGTGGCACTTTGATAACCGCATTTCGATACGAGTTTCACCCCTCTTAATAGTACAGCTATCGATCCTAAATGTGATCACACTCACTAAGTGTCTTGATCACCAAAACAAAATGGCTCCTACCATTTATACCTTTGCCTTGAGCCTTTTGTTTTTCTCTTTCTTCTTTTCAAGTCCAAGCACTTCATGGCATCACCATCATCAGGTCATGGTCTTCATTTGCTTCATCACTTGGAATGTGTTACATATCTCATGATCACTTGATAAACTAGGTTAGCACTTAGGGTTTCATCAATGCACCAAAACCAAACAAGAGCTTTCACCGTCGGCGTCGGGTGCGGCCGGATCCACCACGACCCTCTTCCTCGTCTTCACCCCCCCACCTCTGGAAGCCAGCGACCCCGTGGGGCAGATCTGCGGGAACAGCAGCAGCCACTACACCGCGAACGACGCCTACCACGCCAACATCCAGCGGCTCGCCGCCACACTCCCCACGAACACCTCCTCGTCCGGGAAGCTCTTCGCAACGGCCACCATCGGCGAGGTCCCCGACACCGTCTACGCGCTCGCGCTCTGCCGCGGCGACGCCGACTCCTCCTGCCTCGTCCGCTACTCTGACCAGAACTTCCTCTCCATCCCCTTCTCTTCTCGCCGGATCCGGCGTCGAGCGCCGCCACCGCCTCCCGCCTCTCTCAGCCAGCGCCGCCCCTTCGCCACCCGCGCCCAGCCTGGAGGCGATGACAACGCCTCCATTCCCCTCTCGTAGGGCTGCTGGGCCGGCACGGCTTGCTAAGACGCTCGGGCTTTTCAGGCCGTCCCGGCCCGAAAAATGGCCCGATAGGCCGTGTCTGGGCTGTTGGCCAGGCTCGGCGCCTGGTTCAGCACGGCCCGGGAGGCACGACATGCCGTGCCGGCCCGACCACCATCGTGCCATGCCGGGCCGGCCCGATGGACATCTAAGGATAACCTCAAGAGGTGCCCCAAGAACTCGGTGCGGTGGTTCAAGACCCTGCTGAGCTCCAGCTGAAGGCGTCACGGACTGTGATTGGACTGGTTATTTATCCGATATATCATACTACGAACCTGTTGTGTTCCACGCAAGCACGATGGGTAAAAGAGTGTGTCAAGCTCCAATGTAAATGTTATCACCTCTAGTCGAAGAACATGTCGTGTAGGACTACATTTAGTTGCACGTTAAAAGGTATACAGATATCAATAACTTCGAATTTAGTTCGTTTGAAAACATACGTTACACGTGTGGATTTGTATTGAAATACACTTGTAAAGTTTCATGATGTCTGTAAATAATTTTAATAAACATGCTAATTGTATTGTTTTTGACCGACGCGAGTGAAAGATATGTGGTTTAGCAATCAGCTCTTATACTTTTTTTTTTGAATGAATGACATGAGATTGTGCCAGTTTCATCAATAGAGAAGAGAGTTTTACATCCGGTTAACCGGGATACATAAATTATGTGTCCCATATAGATGTTAAACTAACAAGAACAAATATTATACTTGATCTTAGCCAACCGTTGAGAAAGATATGATTTTTTTTGAAACTTTGAGAAAGATATGATTTGCCATATGTCGCTTTATGTAGCTCACCTCCTGTCTCCCTAACGCACAGCACGTTCTGCGCGTCCAGCTGAAAGCCAATGCATGTGGGTTCGTTTCCAATGCACCCCCAAGCCCAATTGCGTGGTGGGTGGAGATGCTTGTTTCTCCTTTTGTTGTTTTCTCTACTTTTGTTAGAAGTCGAAAATCGAAATCGAAATCTGCACCGTACGAGATATCAGTGTCATCAAACCATAAAATAAATAAAACTAACAATACCAAAAATAATTTGTAACATTTCATAACGGATTTGTACGGAAGTGCATGGCCATTGGCAAAGCATCCGAGGCTAGCGAGCGGAACGCAGGTCGTCGTCCAAGCCACCAAGGTCCTCGCTCGCCCTCGTGTCGCCTCGCAGCCGTGCCGCCGTGGCCGTGGGATGCCGTAGCCCGTAGGCGCGTAGGCGCGTAGCCGATCGATGGCCCAGGGCCCCAGGCCCATGTGCCGGTCGGCCGGCAGCGCATCTTGGCTAGACGCACGAGGCAGCCCTCCCTCCGCGCGCGGAACTCGGGAATTCCTGCGCCTGCTTCTTCCATGGGTGAAACGAATTCCCCTTGCGATCGCCGGTTCCGGAAGTTCGGCGCCGACGGTGCGTGTATGCACACACATGTGGCCCAGTCGCCCAGAGGGCAGGAGAACGCCGGTGAATCGATCTGTGATTATTGTTGTCGTCTGATTGCGACAATTATTCTAGTCCAGTTCAGACAAGCCATGCATCATCGTTATTATCCCCTCCGTACGTAGGCCAGGTCATCTCGAACTTTAAAAAAAAAATGGCGTTACGTTCCTTGTGTTCATCAGTTTATTTATACTCCTGTTGTTTTATGTTTTCCTGCCGCAAGATTAACTAGATTTATAGAAAATACGTGTAACATTTGTATATTTAAATAAATTTATTATAATAATAAATTTAAAGATATATTTAATGATATTAATTATGTATAATAAATATTAATATTTTTTAATATAAAATTAGTTAAAGTTATTTATCGGGAATCGAGAACGATATACGA